TCACACGATCGAATGCAGCCTTGAAGTCCGTGTATCCGGCGTCCACTTGTGAACCAGCGTCCATAGAGCGTATGCAGAGTGAGGTGAACTGAGTGAGGTTAGTAGTAACAAATCGTTTCGGGTAGAATCCATGCTGGGCACATGAAATGTAGTTTTTGGTGGCTTCAAAGAGAGCGTTGTTTACAATTATTTCAAAAACCTTAGAGCAAGCGCTCAAGGACGTTATTCCACGGTAGTTGACGACGTTACATTTGTCACCCTTTTTGTGAATCGGTGACAGAAACGAAGTTTTCCATCCAGCAGGACATTTTTGCTGTTGGAACGAGAGATTGAACAGTTTTACTAACGGTGTCATCAGAGAACTCGAGCAGTTTTTCAACACAGATGAAGGAATCCCATCAGGACCGGGTGACACGGAATGTTTGAGCTTACGTAATGCATTTTCGACATGCTCCTCGCTGATCTGGAAAATTCTAAAGTCGATGCTGTCTAGCGGCGTATCACGAACAGCAGCCTCTATCTGCGATGGCGTAGCAGGCGTATTTGAGAAGACATTCTTGAAGTGTTCAGCAAAGATCTCACATTTACTAGAGGCTGTGCTAGCAAATTGGTCGCCGAAATACATGGACGTTGGCAATCCATCTTCCTTGCGTTTAGTACGAACAAAAGACCAGAACTGTTTGGAATGTAGACGTAAATTTCTCTGCGTACGATCAACGTATCGAGCATACAATATACGGTTATACCGTGTGTACTTGTTACTGGCCATTACAAAGCGATGTTTGGAGTGCTGCGAACGACTCCGACTATACGTTCGAAGTGCAGATCGCCTACGGTGCTTCAACTGGCGGAGGCTCCTGTTCGTCCAAGGAGGCTTCAGTGAAGGGCGCTGAAGAGGCACGTGAGCCTCGATGACTTGACGTATCTCCGTGTTGAAAATACATACAATATCGTCCAGATCCTGATCAGAATCCAAAAATTGCCAATCGATTGATAATAGCGCATCATTCATCGAACTATAATCAGCCCGACGAAAATCGAACCGGCAGTCGTCTAGAGATGGTTCAAATGACACTGGTACCGAAATAGAAACGGTGACGTCAATAGCAGGATGTGGAGTATCGATTTCTACGAGCGATTCAGCCGCTTCGGATACGCAACAGCTTGATAACGCTGAGTCATTCACGAGTACTAAATCGAGAATCGACTGTTCAAAGAGCTACGATCTGTCCTGAACACAGTGTAAGAGTCGTTGAATAATTGAGTAGACAAGATTCAATCGTTCAGCCAAGTCTCAGTTAGCACGATAACATCATATTCCGAGTCAGTTGTAGCAAAGAAGAAATAATCTATCTTTGTCCGAAGTCCTCGTGCATTCTGATAGTAAATGCGTAGCTCGGAAGTTGTTGAGGAAGGATTGCCACAAACTTCTCGTCCGTTCCTCGGCAGAATGCAATGAATTTGAGTGAGTGTTGCGCTGAAATCCAAATGTTGATCACGAGTAGAATCATTGAGAAAGCACGCATACTTGCCTGAAAAGCCAGGATGGGAGACTCTCGCCCTATCTCCGACCACAGCTTGGGGACATAATACCACCGCGACCATTACTTTGATCTATTGTGGTGTATTTTTTTCAGTTAGATTAGGACCGAATGTCTGGTACTTCTTGTTTTTTCGGGACCCCCTGGTCTTAGTGTTGGTGTTAGTCTATGGTTTTATCACATAATATGAAAGTAGATGCCAATTGATAGTGGATAGCGTTGTTATCTCAAAAATGACTCAAATGCATATGGGACTGATATGCGATTGTAGGCAGTATAATGCCGAATCAGTTGGAAAAAGTAGGCATTGAGGCATTCCATGTAAATTAATCAACAATTTTGTCACATGTTCGATGTAAGATCCGAATAGAATTGACATCCTGCTGGATTACAACATTAGGACATCAGATGCTGGATCCGAATAGGGAATGCGATGCCGGATTCCGATAAGAATCCGATGCCGGAACCCGATTGAGAAGTAAGTTAAAGTTAATGTAAGATTAAGTTAACGTTATGTAACGGTAAATTAAACTTATAATACAGTTATGTTAAAATTATATTAAAGTTAACTCAACTGCAACGCATCAACTCATCCGGATTCCTCCAGCGGATCAATTTTGAAGTAATTATTTTCCAAAATTGATCCGCTGGAGGAACCCGGCTGAGTTAAGCATCCTTACTGATGCAGCTGGAGAGGTAGCTCATCGATTCTTCCGGTTCGCCTCCTAGCATCGTGCTATAAGGTACCAGGCGATAACCAGGGTAGTTGATCGATAGCTCGATGACGTCATTTCGTTGGCGTCTGCAATGGGAAATTCTCATAGCAGGCGTTGACGATGGGACGTTGTCGAGTTGTTGAATAGCAACTATCGTGGTAACTCACCAATTACCTGTCGATCTGCCAAATTTGGAAAGACGTCTGCATTGAATTGTCTCATATAATAATATTCCGCCCACTATATCACAAGAAATTGCGAGTAGCTGAGTGGCATGGAGATAAGTTAAGCATTGGGTACAGGACCAAGTCTCCCCTGGGTGGTGCAAGAAGATGAACGCAATAGAATCATCAAGTTGCCATAAGGCACGGAATGAGACTATTGCATGGCTGGGTAGTCAAAGTCTTCCATTCGTTAGTCATTTCAGGTGGATTAGAACAGGTTTAGGTGGGCGTTGGCCAGATTTGGATTTTTCAGATGTAATCCTGGATAGGACCCTGTCATTGAACGTCGCGTGAAAGTGGAACTTAATGAAGGCCTAAGTACTTTTTCGTAGTTTTTAGTTTTCGGATTTGAAAGATCGTCGGTTACAGTGGCCTGCTTACTGAGCAGAAAAACGCTGTCCCAGGTCCTTACATATCAAAGAGATTTATGGTAAAATCGCTTGTGTATCGTGTATTTTGCGAAACTCGTTGTTGTCGTTGGTTCCGGGTTTGAATGGATACACAAATTTGAGCAACGGTATTATGTGATATGAGGGGCTCGGTGGCCTTAGAGCAACCGTTTTTGCTTACTGAGCAGAACATCATGAGTCTAATCTCAGGCCCATCCACATTCAAGAATCGTCAATCGTTTTATTTGTTAATATGACTACATGGTAATAACAGCAACTCGGTGATTAAAAAGGTGCTCGTCTGCCTAGTGGCAAACGTTTTTGCTTACTGAGCAGAAGACCGTGGTTTTAGTCCCAAGCTCCTTCGAGTTATACGATCGTTAGGACATCAATTCAGCTTATCGTTTACCAAAACGAACCCTGCTGCAAACCCAACCCTCTTATCCAACATCCCAGTGATTCCTCGTGGAAGTGCAGAGGTGTTCTCGGCTTCCATCAAAGCGAGTGTCATGTCAACACAATCCTTCCCATTCCTTTCTTGACCTGTGTTCGGGCGCGGCCGGCGTTGGTATTGCCTAATTTAAGATCACCAGTTTTTCCACATTGAGGATGATTGCTAGTCCCAAGCATCGTCTATTAGTTCTCTGTGTAATTACAGCTGATCTGGCAGTAACATAGTAGCAACCGTGGGCGGTCAATCAAGCTCAAGCTCAAGCTCAATTTTGTCACATGTTTGTTACATGTTTTGTTATATCAGCAAAAAATATGGCGATTCAAGAACGTGTCAAGATAAATTTTCCGTTTCATTCTGCGCCGCGAGTGAGGTGACTCTCCGTGTAAATCAAATTGATAGTCACCTTGCGAGTGAGTCGATTTGCTTCGCAGAAAAGGACTCATTGATTGTATGTATCCATTCAATAGTTCACAGTGAGTAGCCATGATCAATTAAGTCATCATTTACTTGTTGGGGGTTTCCTGATTGGGTGCTTTTGAACTGGGAGAGTTCGCTTATAGGATAACATTCAAGGAACTTCCAATGCAGAAAAAAAAATCATTTTCTTACCTTGTTCAAGGACTTTGTCATCGAATCGATCACTCGCAGCAAGTTTATCAAAAATAGAATTTTGTATTATTATGCCTAATTGTTACGATTTCAACAATGATTCGAGAATTTTCCGAAGAAAAATATCAATCTATATGTACAATTACAAAAAAAAAGTGGTATTTCCTTTTTTACTATCCTACAGTTTTGATTCCTGTTTCGAAATGCGGTATACTCGTTATTGATCTTCGTGTTTTTGAGAATATGTTCACTATCCTTATCCTCCAAAAAAACAGCACTAGCTACGCTCCTGCTCGTTTTGCTTGAATGTATTTTCCGTACAACTCTCCTATCATACAAACATATCCAACAAATTGGCGAATCGAGTTGCTGCGCCTATCCACTAAAACTGAGGATTCCCGTTTCTTTTGCTTTGTAGAATTTGTGTGTTCAAATAAATAAATTAAATTAGATAAAATTAGTGATTGATGATAAAAAAAATAGCAATAACAACAGGTGAATAATGCTCGTTTACAGCGCTGTCTAATAAATAGTGGAGGGTAAAAGTTCATCTTTTAAATACTATGAAAATATATGCTTTAAAAACAAAGAAACAACAAATACATATAACTTAAAGGTTTACAGCATTTTCCCCACAGAGTCGGCCACGTGTGAGACAAAGTGAAAAAGAACATTAACATGGACAGAAATGGCTCCAACAAATGCACGTGTTTGTCTTTTTGTTTTACATCCCCGTATTCGTGCTGTGGAACTACCAAACTACATAATACAACGTAAAATATTCCCCAGCGGCTTATTGGCGGGGGATCGATCAACAAATGAATCAACCTCTACGTACGGCTTTTGGGATTTGCTGCTGCATGCTGCCGATCCTTTCCTCTTAACGTTAGGATCTGGCAAAAAATTTGTCCTATCTAAAAACAATGTTTGAAATGATGAGTATTCGAATCGATTCGTGTCCCTTCGACGACGGCGACGGGAGGAATCCTTCATCGTGTGCGTATTTTGGTTCCCATTGCAGAATCCGCCGGTCGCACTTCCTTTTTTTTATTTATGTATTTGGTGTCAGCTGATGATCGCTCGGTGCTCGGGTTCAGTATCCGACGACCATCAGCGGGTGCTATTGCTATTGAGCACCGGTTGCGAGTTGCGGTAGGGCTTCCGACGCTGGAACCAGCACCGTGCTGGTTGTGCCGTCCGATGCCGTTTGCTGCTGGGCGATCAACTGGGGCAGGGAGATTTGCACCGGCAGGGTCTGGTTGTCTGCCGTGGGAACCTGTAGAGAAGGATGACAGCATGAACAATTTGAGCTGGTTTCCGAATGAGGCGATCAGCGCAGACTTACGTGTATCGTAACGCCTTGGGGTAGGCAGATGCTCTGCGTTAAGGGCGAAGGCTGAGGATGAGGCGGGTTAAGATTCGACATGGAATTTGTACTAGTAGTTATTGTCAACCCGGGTGGAATGCCCGCCGGTAGGGACAGCGGGACAGGCACCGTGCCAGATGTCGTCGAGACACTGTTGTCCGAGTGGTTGTTATTGTTCGGGGTATTGCTGCTGGTACCGTTGCTTGTGGGATTATTATTGCTACTGTTGCTCCGGTTCGACGAGTTGGCAGCCATTTCCTCTTTCAACCGTTTGGTCATGTGGGACTTTATGTGCTTCCGGAGGTGGTCTTTGCGGTAGAAACCTTTTCCACAGTCGCCGCAGATCTGCGATGGAGGAATTATATGAATGAGTAAATATTTACTTTTAGTTGTAATACGAAGTTTTGAGCTTTAAGCTAGGCGTTAACAATCTATTCTCTCTCATAATTTCGATCAGTAAAAATATGGAGGATGCAGACTTTATATTGAGAAACGAAACATACACGTTCGGCTACAAATAGTGAATCGACATACCAACAGCACTGGTCATCACAAGCTCCTAATTCACGCTTCCACGGCTCATGCCGACGACAAAAGACCGCCAGCAGGAGGTGCTGGAGCGCAGACAAATTCCATCGGATGTGTAATTAGTGGAATTTCGAGCAGATTTCAGAGGGAATTTCTCTCAACTAAGGGTTTTAGATGCACATCCACAGTTATTAATTGAGTGCTTTGCAGATTGAGCTTGAGCTTGATTGACCGCCCACGGTTGCTACTCTGTTATTGCCAGATCAGCTATAATTACACAGAGAACTAATAGACGATGCTTAGGACTAGCAATCATCCTCAATGTGTAAAAACTGGTGATCTTAAATTAGGCAATACCAGCGCCGGCCGCGCCCGAACACAGGTCAAGCAAGGAATGGGAAGGATTGTGTTGACATGACACTCGCTTTGATGGAAGCCGAGAACACCTCTGCACTTCCACGAGGAATCACTGGGATGTTGGATAAGAGGGTTGGGTTTGCAGCAGGGTTCGTTTTGGTAAACGATAGCTGAATTGATGTCCTAACGATCATATAACGCGAAGGAGCTTGGGACAAAACCCACGGTCTTCTGCTCAGTAAGCAAAAACGTTTGCCACTAGGCAGACGAGTTCATTTTTAATCATCGAGTTGCTATTATTACCATGTAGTCATGTTAACAAATAAAACGATTGACGAATCCTGAATGTGGATGGGCCTGAGATTAGACTCATGATGTTCTGCTCAGTAAGTAAAAAGGGTGCTCTAAGGCCACCGAGCCCCTCATATCACATCATACCGTTGCTCAAATTCAAACCCGGATACGACGACAACAACAAGTTTCGCAAAATACACGATACACAAACGATTTTACCATAAATCTCTTTGGTGTGTAAGGACCTGGGACCGCGTTTTTTTGCTCAGTAAGCAAGCCACTGAAACCGACGATTTTTCAAATCCGAAAAGAAAGATAAGCTTTAGCAGATTATGCTAAAACTTGGTTTACATGCGAAAAACATGCGACTGATTTGTGCAACGCTGAATGGATCAAAAGCATGTGTAAGGGTTGCAGATAAGATTCCGACCTCATTCCTGACCTAGTCTACGCGTCTGGTAGGTAAAAGCAGGTCTATGCACTGTCAAACAGGAACTTAGTGAGGCTTTTCTACGTCTCTTTCCTAACTGATTAAGGTGATTCCTTGATGAGTTCACAGATGGCTTGATAGTTGATATGCACGATCATTTCAAATTTTCTCGAGCACAAACCTCGGACATTGTTGCGATATCGCTCATAAAATTGGAACGTATAGTTTCAGTTTCATTGTATGTTTTATAGGAGCTGATATTTGTGTTCTTGATGTTTCGAGGGTATAGTAAGATCAATTAGAAATAATGTTATCGCAGCGATTCACCTTAAATCAAGCGGTGAATAGAAATATCAGTTCCACAATGTAAAACAAATCAAATCATTTATTTTTTGCACTAAATTAAGACTGTTTTTCCTTTGCCTGAATTACCTTATTTAATATTGACTGGGTTTAGTCCTAATGATGGATTAAGCAATACCAGGAAATACAATATAGTCAAGAAGTCCAACTTAATTCCTAATTCTTAAAAAATGTATCACGGAATCTCTGACGCAGCGTCTCGCGTGCCAAGTGAAAATCAAATAAGGAAGCAACACGATTGAAAACCCTTTGTAGCCCATTGATAGCACCATACGATCTATAGTTTGTACGACGAAAAGGTATCCTCAGCATTGCGTTGTTACGGAGTGCTCGTGGTTGAACGTTAACGTCGATTTGTTGTAGAATAGAAGGGCAATCGATTCTGCCCTGTAGAATGTCTGCCACAAACAGGGCCCTTGTCGTATCTCTTCGACTCCACAAATGATCCAGGTGAATTAACTGGCACAGATTTTCGTAGCTTGGAAGGCGATGAGGATCCCTCCAAGGCAATCGTCGAAGGGCAAACCAGATGAATCGTCGTTGAATAGACTCTACTTTTTGTACACTGTTTTGGTAATTGGGATTCCATACAGGGCAACAGTATTCTAACACCGACCGGACGAGGGAGCAGTAAAGCGACTTCAAACAGTAGATGTCCATGAAACTTTTAGCTATCCTGAAAATGAAGCCGTGCCTTGTCGATCACGGACGAGATATGCTGGCTGTATGTGAGTTGACAATCTAAGATGACTCCCAGATCCTTAATGTGATTCACACGATGTACGTCAACGTGGTTACCGAACATTTCAAGACCAACAATTGAAATGGCCTTAACTCCATTTTGTAAACAAACCTTGTAAGGTCATTTTCTCGCGAACCGAAACCTTCATTCGCAAACCAATCGGGTAGAGTAGAATTTCCCCTACATTATGTTGGTTTGCCATTGCGGACTTCGGTTCGCCAGAAAATGGCCTTACAATGTTTGTTTACAAAATGGAGTTGAGGCCATTTCAATTGTTGGTCTTGATTTTGTTAGATTTACAACCATGCGGTTCAGTTGGCAAAAGCGTTGAGTTGGAGTTGGAGAAGGTGGCAGTCAGCGATGGCTCGGATTCGGAGATAGATTTTCATGTCGTCTGCGAACGACAGTCGTGGACCGTCGAGGACGCAATTTACGTCGTTCTTTTTTCCTTGATTTGTTTTCCGTGCTGAGCACCAATGCTACCGACGTCAGGGAGGCAGCTCCCTCACCTGGACCCTACCTATCGACCCATCAACTTATGAACCGGGGACCAACGGCGTGATCAGAGATGTTATACCTCAGAACATCCCGGCGGCGCCGACTGGGATTGAACCCAGGCCTACTGAGGTGATAGGCAATCACGCTTACACCACCGGCGCCGCTAAATTAACGTCGTTGAAATGCACAAGAAATATCAACGGGCCGCGGTGGCTACCTTGCAGAATACCCGAAGTGGCAGGGAACGAAGGAGATCGGCAGTCGTCAATTGCAACTTCCAAATAACGATCAGATAGATAGGATATGCGAACCATCGTAGGAGACTGCGGTTTATACTGAGCCTATCCAGTTTGGCGATCGCTATAGGATGGTTCAACTTGTCGAAGGCGGCTGATAGGTCAGTGTAGATGACATCTGTTTGCATATGGTCTGTCATACTCTCCGTGATGTACGAAGTGAGACACAGAAGGTTGGAAGTAGTCGACCGCCCTGCCATGAAACCATGCTGGTCTTCGCTCAAGTGCTGCTTGAAGTGAGAGATTAATGGTTCCATTACGACCACCTCGAACAGTTTAGATATGGCACACAACGATGTGATGCCGCGGTAGTTATCGATGTTTCTTTTGCATCCCTTCTTATGCACTGGAAACTTCTCAGCTGATTTCCAGCACCCCACTGGAGAGGGACATTTCGAAAAGAACGCAGAGTGGAGCCACCAGGCTATCGATGTGTTGCTTGAGAAAGACGGAAGGAACTCCGTCAGGTCCAGGCTTAAATGAAGACTTCAGTTGCGAAGCCGCCCTAGTTATCATAGCTGCCAAAGATTGACCAGACATTGGAACATTACTGGCTGCTAGAGAAACGTGCTCGTCAGGTAGGTTCTCATCGCAAACATGGTTGAGAACAGACGGCAAATTTCCTGAGGGGATGAACCTTCTTCGCCGTTCAGTACCATAGTCGATGGAAGGCCAGATTCCTTTCGTTGCTCATTCACATAATTCCAAAAAGATTTCGGGTGAGATCGAAGCTTCCGTTGCACATCTCGTTGATAACGCCGATAACATTGGCGACTGGGTTCGTTGATACGCATGATTGATCCTCGCATAATGGTCCTTGAGTTGTAGGATGTTGTACTTGGTGTATTTTCTTAGCGCGGCTCTTTTGGAAGACTTTAACATACGGAGCTCACTTGTTTGCCAAGGATGATGATTACCTTTTTTCGGAACGTGTCGCTGAATGACGTAAGCCAAAATATGCGAAAGCGTTTGGGCAGCTGCATTGACATCGGCAGGGACGAGTATCCTGTGCCAGTCCAAATTCGAAAGAAGTTCCCCGATACTGTCGTGGTCAGCATTTCGGAAATCGTAGGAGACCTCTAGGGGGCTCAGGAATTTGGTTGCCTTCAAGTACAATAACTTAAGGAGGATTGTGTGGAACAGTCTTTATCAACGGAGAAACACCCGAAGACAAATGCGGAGCAGTTTCCTGAGCGGTGACGAAGCAAAGGTCTAAGCTACGATTGTTCTCATTAACCACGTGGTTGATTTGCTTCAGAGTGGCGATACTGTAATGATCCAAAATGCTTACAGCTCCAGAGTGAAATGTAGAACGGTTGTGGTCCGGATAGAGGAATCCACCGTAAGATGATCGCCAAGAAATTGCCGCCAATGATTATTATGATTACGAATTCTACTAATGTTTACAAAAGTAAGAAGGAATTTAATGTTTCAATTAAGCATAAACATGTTTCTTTGTTGGAATGGTATCTTTTTTTCAAGGTCAACGTTTCTAAAAAGATCATTATTTCACACTTTCCAAAATATGAAACCCCGTTTAGCCTCAAAAGCGGGCAACCGTCGAATGTTTTCTAAAATTCTGAGACTTTTTGAGATTCCAAACTTCAAAACCTTAGGTATTTAAATTTTAAAGCATAACACTTTTACAAGACTCGTGTTTTTTTTTCTCCAAAATTAAGAAAATTTATCGTGTTACAGAATTAACCTCCTGGTTCTAACTTTGCTCATAGATTAAATGTCGACGGAATGAATTTCGTGGAAAAGCTGCTAAGCATAGGAACTCTTTTTACCACACACTTACTCATTAATTGGTACGTTCAAGTTAGCGTGTATTCAACATTACTCTTGAGGAAGCGTGTATAAGAACTTTAGTTCACACCCATCGAAAGTAACCATACAAATTTTACTAGTTTCGTGATTTGATTGTCCTGGAAGACCTGTGCTACCTACAAACGCATAGCTGTTCTATTAGAATAGGAAATCAAGCAAAGATGTGACTGCTATGCTTTTATGGGCAAATGGAAACGTGGAAATCTTTGAAACCTAAGCTTGGTTTTTGGAACATCTATTGTTAAAAATCCCAAACAAGATCTTACTCTAACCGCATCACGCGGTGTTCCTCCACTACATCCCCCACTCACCTCCGTTTTCACCCCGCTGTGTATGACAAAATGCAAATTCAAATGCTCCTTCCGCTTGAAACCTTTCATGCATACGCTGCAGATGTACGGCCGTTCCGGATTGTGACCCAGTTTGTGCCGTTCCAGGTGCTCCTTCCGCTTCAGACCCGCGCCGCAGATGTCGCAAATGAACCTCCGCTCGATTTTGTGCACCGCAAGGTGCTGTTCAAGGCACTCTTTCTCCGGATAGGCCATGTGGCACTCGGGGCAGCAGAACAGGACCGTCCCGTCGAGCGCCGTGGTAATATGCACTTGTCCCGGCTTTTGCCGTTTCGGCTTCGGAGGTTTCGATTTGTACTTTCGTTTCTTTCGAGCTTTTCCCGAACCGATCGGCACGCCATCCTCGCCCGGCGTACCGGTCGTCGAAGTGGCGGCCGCAGCCGTTGTCGTCGGTGTCGAGGCGGATTCGTTGTGGTGGCTACAGGTGGTGTCGCCGGATATACTGCTGGCATCCTTGAAACTACTGTCAGCCTGGCTGCTATCCGCGCCAAACTGAGTATTGTCGTTGGAGTTCTCGTCGATGATTTCGCGCTTAATAAAAGTGGTCCCAGGGGTGTTGGGTATGGAACCGCCGATCAGGTGGTCTCCATGGGCTAAAGGTACATTCGGTTCATTATTATTGTTGTTGTTGTTGTTGTTGTTGAACTTAAGGAACGGTTGTAGATTGAGTCCCTGACTTCGCTGTTGCAGAAATTCTGCAATGTCTGCACCGAACGCTGGAGCAGCCGTCAGGTTGGGGATGTTATTCCAGACTGCCTCCTGCTTGATTGACCTTATCGGTGGCGATAGACTTTGTTCCACCTTTATCGTAGGATGGATAGACGAATCATGGCTTTGATGTTGTAGTTGTTGTTGTTGTTGCTGCTGCTGCTGCTGTTGCTGTTGCTGCTGCTGCTGTTGGTGGTGTTGTTGTTGTTGATGCTGGAAAAGCGAGGCATTTTGAGCTTGTGCTAAGAGTTGCAGGTCCTGGGGTTGTAGAGCGGCAACTATCGTCATGCCCTCCGCAAGACCGTGGTTGTGTACAATTTCTTCGTCATGGGGACCGTAGGCAACCGTGAGGACGGTGGTTCCTTGCTGGAATCCTTGGATGGGTATTTGCATCTGGCTCATTTGGAATTTAGGTTGCTGCTGAGTCGGTTGAGGCATGGGATTGGGATTCAACACCTGGATCTGTACCGTCTGCTGGGCATCACCAGGCTTCGCACCGGGCATCGTTATCGGCAGGGTGATGTAGGCAGGTGTGGCTTGTTGCATATTAGCAGCCGCTGCCAACTGTTGCTGCTGCTGTTGGAATGCAGAGGCCGCTGCCATCGCATTCCCATCCATCGGACGCAGAAATTGCATGCCTGCATCGCCACCGGATACCAAACCGAGGACCTAGAATGAGATTAAAAAGGGTGGATAAGATTTGAGCTATAGAATTATGTATTTATTCAATCAATGAAAAATAAGAAGACAAAATTGAACCATGGATGATGAAAATGAAGCAAGAAAAAGAAAGGATTACGAAAGAAAATATCAGCAGAGGCTAATGACTTAACTTAATAATACATTTAGATTGAGTTGCATATCTTTCCAAAGTGCCAACAAAATGGTTAAATGTTACATTTGAACCGTATACCTAAGGCAAACTAGTTCCACCGTAGTCATCGAGCAATAAACTTCATTTGGTAGTCATCGGTAATACACGCTTCCATTTGTTCGCCTCATTCGGCCGTGTGTTTAGAGTTTAAATAAGTTCAAGTAAAAGTGAAAGTTTCATTTCTTCATCTCCTCTTTCCCTTGCTCACCTAGCTATCGAACCAAACCATACCATTTACCGCTACGTCTCTTTTCCTATTTTCTGCTATGTATCTACACAACCGCAAACCAGAAACTAAATCAACCACCTCACCACAACAAGTGGCAGAAACCACGAACGGACGGACAGACGACAGCGTAAACCCCATGCAGAGATAGCTATATTTCTCTATTTACCACCCAAGCATTCAACATGCAAAGCATACCGGTGAACATCATCAGCGATCGTGATCGTTTTGCCAAAAAGGAAATGCGAAAAGCGATAGTTGAGAAAATTGAGAGAAAAGTGCAATCTTCCTCGGAGTCATCCACTCTCTTCGAAAGATCATCAAGATCACATGGTTGGTTGGATGAACTCCAACTGTGTGAGAGTGTATGCGTGCGTGGTTGATGGGAGATGTAATCGAATGTGTGTTTCAATCGCATCTTTGGAATTTCGCTGACCACAGTGAGTACATATTTGGTAAAAGGCACGATGACATCGCTATGAGGTAAGAGATATGTGATCTGCTGGCGCCAAGGCAAGGTGGATTCAGTGTTTATGTTTGTTGCGAATTTTAAGGTTGATTTGTTACCGATTCGAATTTCACTCGCACTAAATCACGACCTGCCTGTTCGGTATTTTTTGTACTGAGTTTTGAACAGCTGTAAAATTCAGTAAACTAAAATAAATTCTATACAATATGTTTATATTAATTTTAATTTAGTTCAGCCCCTTAATGGAATCCCTTATGAAGAGCTTTTGAGTGGGTTGAGCTATTTTCTTTTAATTCCGTTATAATGGCTTATCTTTTGACAGCTACGAGTATTTCATCCACTTACTCAGTGCAGGGCTGGTAGTGCTGATGCGATATAATAGTAGTGACTTTAGTGACTTAAATTACGGAAATAATTACCAAATAGTGACTTGAAAACCCATTAATATGGTAACTTAGAAATTCAAATACAGTTTGATATTGAAATAATTTTTTTATGCCATGGAACTTAAAATGGAATTTCATAAATTCCTCTAATTTAATCAAATCTCACAACGGCATCTCCTGTGAAGACCATTTGAAGTGATTTGAATAATTTACTTTTGCTTACGTTATACATGATGACTAGCAAATAGTAATTCCCATTTTTTTATGATCTTGAATTTGATTCTGCGTTTTAAATCTATTAAATTTTGATATATCTAGGTAGATAACTTTGGATCGTGTACCGGCGCCGGTAGTGTAGTGGTAAGCGTGACTGCTTTCTCACCCCAATGAGTCTGGGTTCAATCCCAGCCGAGGTCGGTGGGATTTTTATGAGGCATAAAAATCTCTCGTCACGTCTTCCTTCGGAAGGGGAAGTAAAGCCGTTGGTCCATGGGCCGTCTGTTGAATGAATGGATGCGATGATATCCTACGCAGGTGTGGAAAGCTGCCTTCCTGCACATTCGATTGCCGTCAATGGATGGCAATCGATGTCCGTCGGTAATTGGCACTAGATTGAGGAACAGAGACCGACGTTAAATAAAGGAAAGAAGAACTTTGGATCGCAGTAGGCCGCGCTTGAAAACATTTTTTGCTTTAAATTTGTTAATTTGTGGGCTGAAATTTAGTTTCAAGTGTTCATAAAGTTATCATTTAGTGATATATCGTGTTTTGCCTGTGTTTGCCTTGAGTGACTCGGTTGACCTTGAATCTAACATCCAAAATCTACGACGCAGCTTCAGTTTCATTGTTCGGTGTCGAAAATTGCCTCCTGGGAGCCCGGTTCTCCGAGTTCGGATTCCACATTTTCGACATGTAGTTCTGTTCTATTGATAATGTGTCCGTCGCGAGTTTTGGTGGTAATTCGGTGGCCGACGTCGCCGTGAATCAGCAAGTTTTCCGTTTGCAAAAGTGCTCGGTTGCTGGTTTCTCTCCGGTGTCGGAGATTGCGAGCAATATGAAAGATGCCTCAGTGCATACGCCCAAGACTGGACGGGTGGTAGATGGCGGCCGCGAAAGGTTCCTGGGGAAAGCACCAAACGTGAAGCTCCTCCCAGATGACCATGGCAATGCAAGACAATTTGTGTTCGTTGAAGTAACTATTACGACAAAGGTGAATCACGAAATGAGATGCAAAACGTAGAGAAAACTACGGAACCCATGGATTGGAGAATCAAATTAACATGGTGAGACCAGTCCGAATACATTTTACAATAAAAAAAACATAAATTAAATACGTGCCAGGATTCAAAAGAAAATTTTAAATCTGGAAGCATGTGTGTAATACTAATATCCAATTGATAGAGGTAATACATACATGCGGGGCTTATTGTAAGTGAAAGTAGCCTCGGAATGGGCGTGACTCTCCAGACAATCTGAAATGGGTTGCTATCACCGTCTAACTCCTGGACTAAAGCTTTCTACAATGACCAGGCATGGAAAATCATTTACATTCATTTCATGCAATCATTTACATTCATTTACCTCTAACTCTTTGCATCAACAGCATTTCGCAAAATGATGTATAGAACTTAAGTAGGTTTTGTTATTAGCTATAACTTTTGCTCATAACTCAAATCTGTATCTCTTATGCATCACGAATTAGAGCGGGCAGAACTTGTTACTGTTTTTCAGTGAATGTAAAATACATTAATTGAAAAACAGTAGTGGCTTCTGTTCGCTCTGGTTCGTCATGCATAAGATATACGGATTTGAGTTGTTGACAAAAGTTGTAGCTAATATCAAAACCTACAAAAGTTCTATACCTTATTTTGCGGAATTCTGTTGATGAAAAAAGTTAGGGGTAAATGAATGTAAATGATTGCACGAAATGAATGCAAATGATTTTCCATGCCTGACAATGACTATAAATGCGACATTGTAGAGAGAGTTCTTCCATAATAACACTGCCGGCCTGTGAGGGTTAGAGGGAATACACACACATCTAGGTAGATAACTTTGATAATTCGCTAAGAACTTTTCACAGAATTTCTTTAGAATGATCTCAAGAACTTTTTTAGAATAAATCCCCTTCTCTTAAACTTTGAGACAAAACAAAAATAATATTGCATTCTTGAAATTCTTTGCAGAACAATCAACAAAATTCTTGGGAATAGATTATTTTTGTAGTTGTAAATGCTTAACATCAAATATCACACCCAACCGAGGGATGTAAGATTCGCTTACAATTATGTGGGATTCATCATCAGACGATGTTAGTGGAGACCGCATGAACCGAGGATGCGATATACCTAGCTGCGATCCAATGCAAGACAATTGGAGACTGAAAAATGTAGAGTGTATTAGTGAGGTAAATTAGTTATGTCGAAAAAAATAGGAATCCGATTGCCGACTGGACTCGAACCAAGAACGCTTCGATTATCAGACCTGTGCTTTCTCCACTGCTCTTTCCATGCTCCTGAATATGGATAGCCTAAAAGCAAACATGAAGCGCTCATTTTCTCGCATACTCGACTTCGTATGCTTTTTCTGCTGGAGAGATTCGAGGCAAGTGTGTGCGTCGTTCTACAATGTTCTACAATGTGCGTCGTTCTACAAGCTTACTGGTATAGTCGAAAGCGTAGATAGAACACGAAATGAAAAAGACAAAAAAAAAACCATTACATCGCCTGTAAGGTCAACTTCTAACATTCGCTGCGATGTTCATGAACAGAGGATGATAGGAAACGGAACTAACATTCATTGTAATAGATTTTTGGTTTGCGTGCAGGATTAAAGTACGATACGATAGATGAGAAGATTAAAGTAAAGAGTTGATAGTTCCGTTATAGTGTGAAATTTGTATATAGAAACTAGAAAACGAACAAAGGACAATTTTGAGGAAGGTACGAATCGGGTGGAGCATTTCCTTTACCAAGCCCATCCGTTAATGATGGATGGTGAGCGGTGTTTCACCCTGCCATCGGTAAAAGGGATGATCGCCGATTTGCTCATGCACCACCGATGTGCGGAAACAGTTCTATCCATTGTTTCACACTCAAGTCCCATCTGACGTAAACAACTACCTCATTCGTACCTTCCTCAAAATTGTCCTTTCTGGACCAACAATAGAAAAGGGCCCATCAGCATTTGTAAACAAACCGTTCCAAAGCCCTTTACTCACAAAGCGAAGGCTACCCACGGAAACCAACGCCATTATCGGATAGGGGAAATTTCTACCTACACGATGATGATGATGTTTCCAATATACATTGTTTTCGAGAAATTTTGGAAAACAGACTGTATAAAATAGTATCAAACATAGTTTCCATTTGAATTCTTTGACGCACATTGTCTATATGTTTTGAATAAAAAATTTCGTTAAGTCAATATTTTTTGGAATAAACAATAAAAGCAGTTGCTGACATACTTAAGAATCGTAATTTGTTGTTTATAAATGAACCTTTATCAGTCTCACTTTATTTTAGACCAATGGCCTTTTTGTCCCATAAGAGTGGTCCTCTTGTCCCATAACATTTTTTAGAGCGGGTACGGCATGACATTTTGAAACAATAATTAACATTTTTTAATTTTAATTTCAATGATAATACATGGATACAAGGTTATAAACTTACAATTCTTGATGCACCGAATACTATATATACGCATATCTATCAA